CTCTCTTCAAGCTGTAGACTCCACCTGCCACCTCCTTCACCTCATCTCTGCTTTGCTTTGCCCCATCCTGCCCTGACCTGGTTTTGCCATTAAGGTCTGTGTCATTGCCTGCACCTCCTTCCTAATTCCTTACTTCAGAGAGTCAAGCTTCTTCCTCTCTCCGCCTTCTGTCCCTAACCCTTTCTGCATTGGGATGTACTCTGTCATTCTTCCAGAGCCTGTTTGTCAGACCATTTGAGACCTGATGCCTGAGTCACTTTTAGGCCCCACCCCAAAATTTGATCTATTACAATACATCTTTGAGTTATTGCAGCTTGAGCGTTTTGACACAATACATTATGGTAATCCATGGCTCATGGAGACATTAACACTCCGACTTTGACAAAATACATCGTGAAGTCTTTGAAGGCACCATTACAATTTATCTTGTCATTCACCAGGAGACCCAGTTCAGCATTAATGTAGATGAACACAGTGTGGCTTTTGTTTCATTTAATTGCTTGTGACCTTTTTAATTGCTAATTTAACAAAATACCAAAGGGTTATATTTCAATTAAATTAACAGTTTGGGAGTGGTTTCTGTTAATATATTTATTTTTAAGACCTTCTGGTTATCTCTGCTTTTTACTTTGAGTAGATAAAAGTGTCTTCTCTTGAACAGAGGTGGGTTTTTAAATGTGAAGTTGATAGTACAGTAATGATTTTAATATGCATGTGAAGCAGTACCGAGCATATTTCATATGTGGCTGGGTTTGCTCCTTTCTAGAAGGATGTAAACAATAAAGGTGAATTTGCAAAGTCATAGAACTTTTCTGGTTCAAAACATACTTTGGTGTCATGATCTGCTTCTGAAGACCAGGAACCCTGCCTTGTCCTCACCAGTGTTCCTCCATAGTCTAGCATACTGCTGGCCCGGGGGGAGTGGTGGCAGGTTCATGGCTGACTGATCTGTGCACACAGGCATGCCCCCTCCAAGCAGCAGCACTCCTGAACCTACTTTGAGAAATGGCCCTGGAACTCTGAGACCAGAAGTTGTTCCATTCAGCAGATAACTTGCTTTGGAATGAGCAGCATGTATTGGAGGCACGTGCAGGGCTGTTTCTTCCTTCTCTGCTCCCCCAGGGGCTGTTCCCCTTCTCATCATAAAAGCAAACATGCCCCTGTCAGCTGGGGCAAGACTCAGAGCTCACCCAAGTATCAGGGGACCTAAATCCTCAGATGGGATGTGAATTTACACTGTCGGAGAGTAGAAGGTCAATGCAAGAAGCATTAGTGTGTGGAGCCAGCTACAGCTATATCAGTCTTGAACAAAATTAATATAAGGAAATTGACAGGCCTCGCTGGTTATTCCATAGCTTTAAGACCTCCACTAAAATCCTATCATCTCGTCTGCCCATTATTAACATTTCAGCAAAATATAAAGTTTTCATTAATCTCCCACAGCAAATTTAGGAGTGAAAACTGGCACTTGTTTGAGCTTTTAGGACTACATTAGCTGGTGTATTAAACAGAATATGTCATTCTTCAGTACTTCTGTAAGAAGCTAAATCAATTTCCAACTATATTTATGCACCACTTTATCTAAAAGCATCTGAATTATCATTTACAGCTAAGATGCTTTATTAGCAGCTGGCATTGAAATTGCTCAGTAAAAAATTATATGTCACGTTATAGTAATTTTTAAATTGGTTTTAATCCAACATCATAAAATGTAAAACTCTTAAGTGGAGGGGGGGTTGTTTTTTTAGTAGTTGGCATTTTAGCATAATGAGCTGTTACCTCTTTCCAAATCAAATACCTGCAATGTTTAGAAAATACTAATTAGTAAAGAAAACAGAAGTTCCTGAACTAGGTTGCATCTAATAATGGCATTTTCTCAGAAAAGATGGCTTTAAATAATTTTTAAAACATGAAAGGATTTTAATATTTCCCAAAATTTTCCGCAATTCTCACATATAGAAAAAGTTCTAAAGTAGAAATAAATACATTTTGGCAGTTCTGTTTCAGTAAAACATGTATTGGAGAAAGTGAATGATTATTCTAAACTAAATTCTAGCCGGCCTTTCCATTTGAGATGTGGACATTACCCAGGAGACAGTGGTGATCATGATGATGGTGCCTCTATTCAAAATCATAGGTGTTCCAAAGAAGGGAAGCAGGGTTCCCAGTGGCTCTTGCAGACAACTGCAGCTCTGCTAATCCTAGTCACTCAGCCCCTCTGATCCTTCCTGAGGACATGGCACCTGGTACTCATCCAGTAAATTTTTATTGAGCACTTGCTCTGTCCTGTGTGAGGCAGCACTGGGGTCTGGGCTACAATGGTGAGTAAAGCAGTCACTGTGCCTGCCCTCTTGGGGTTTGCAGTCTAATGGCAGAGGCAGATAATTACTCTCTGTGATAAGTATTCTGAAGGAAAATCCAGGGTGCGATAACACAGGAGCTGAGCTAGACTTGGGGGCCTGGGGTCAGGGAGCGTGCCCCTGCAGTGTCACTTGAGCTGAGCTCTTCAGGAAGAACAGGGAAGAGGCCTGGAGGAATAGACCAGGAGGGAGTGAAATGGGGAGAAGGTGACCCGGGCAGAGAGAGCAACATGTGCAAACACTAAGGTGGACTGTCCCAGGCAGCCGGTGAATGGCTCATTGAGGGCTGGGCTGCTCCTTATTGAGGGGAGGGTGTCATTATAGGGGCTAGAATGGTCCGGGCCGGGAATAATTGTAGTGTTTGGAAAGAGTGTGCACTTCCTAATACGTGGGTTCAATGTGAAGGCATCAGAAACCAACTTTTGCTTAAAAGTTTGCCCTGTAGCCCTGGCCAGGTTGCTCAGTTGGTCGGAACATATTCCCCATACACCAAAAAGGTGGTGGGTTCGATCCCTGGTCAGGGCACGTACAGGAGGCAACCAACGGATGTTCCTCTCTCCCTTCCTCTCTGTCAATAAAAACATACTCTCAGGGGAGGGTTAAAAAAGCAAAAAGCTCACCCTGTAAGCAGCACTGTGGGAAGGAAAGCACACAGTTGTATTTGTCAGGTTTCCAGTTACGTAACAGAATGCTCCTGTTTTATACCCAGTCCAGAGTTTTTAGCTACAACTCTGTCCCAAAGAGCTCTCTCTGGCTTTCCCTGTGGCCCCATCTGTAGGTGCCCGGTGCAAGGCGTCGGGCTCCCTGTTCTTGTTGGCCGCTGCTGAGCAGGCGCTCCCTCCCACTGGGGAGGGGCACCAGCAGCCGTACCTTCAGAGAACCACATTTCACACTTGGGGGGTGAGAGGTAACTTAGCTTTGCTTAGTGTTACCTTGACCCATGACTTCACCTCAAAGGCCTCGGATTCCCAAAGCCTCAGGTGAGGAATGACAGCTGGTTGCCATGAGGCTTAACGTGGAAAGAGCTTCACCGTGCCGGATGTATAGTAGCACTCATGCGTCCAGCCTTTGTTTATCTGTCTCCTTATTTAGCAGCATTTAGCTCTAGCGGGCTGGTTACCTGCACTGCTTGCAGGAGACAGAGATGAGTAAGAAACTTTCTTGGAGCCCGTCCGGGCGTGGCTCAGCGGTTGAGCGTCAGCCTAGGATCCAGGCGATCGAGGTTCAATTCCCGGTCAGGGCACATGCCCAGGTTGCGGGCTCGATCCCCAGTCGGGGGCGTGCAGGAGGCAGCCGATCAGTGACTCTCATCATTGATGTTTCTATTTCTCTCTCTCCTTCTCCTTTCCTCTCTCTGAAATCAATAAAGATATATTTTTTAAAAAAAACTTTCTTGGCCCCCACAAAGCTTCTAAACAGGACAGAGCCACCACTCAGCAACTCCGGTGCTAGGCTGAATGTGATCCTCTGTAACAGCAGAATAAAAGTAATCATGGCTGCTACTGATTAAGCGTAGAATGTGTTAGATTTTTAAAACACATTTTGACGTTCTGTGGATGGCAAAAACCAGGGTTCAGTGAGCCGGTCACTTGCCAAAGATCATATAGCAAGTTAGAGACTAGGAATTGAGCCCAACTCTGCCTGGTCCCAGAGTCCAGTATAAACCAACTGCTCTGGAATTCAGCAGAAGGTGGAGATGGAGCCAGCCTGCCTGGGTGGGGTTTTGACAGGTGCAGGGTAAGGCTAGAAAGGATGTTCTAGGCCAAGGGTACACATGAGCAAAGGCCCAGAAGTAGAAAAACCTGGATCTGTGTGCAGTCTGGGGAGTTTGGGAGTTGCTGAGAGAAGGTAGGTGTGAGAAATGACAAGTAAAATTGAAAATGTATGTTTCAGCCAGATTATGGACAGTCTTGAGTGCTTGGTTGAAAAAAGTGTGCATCATTTAGGAAGCCATGGGAAGCCAGGGATGATTTTTGAGTACCAGTCTTCTTCGTCGCCAGTGTCACATATCAGAGTACTTAGCATACACGGAGCTCTCACTAAACATTTGATGAGTGAATGATCAAAGCTTTAGAAAGATGAATTGGAAAGTCCTGTGGTGGCCGGATTGCAGAGGGAGCCTGGTGGCCAGAAGGCCAGTGAGGAGACTGTTCCAGACATTCAAGCGCGAGCTGTCCGGTGCCTGTACCAGCAGAGACTGGAACCAGGACAGCAAGCTGGTAAACAGACGGTTTGAGACTCGGAAAGCACAGGATTCTTCAAGAAGCATGGATTACTTTTATGATCAGGAAAATTAATATTAGAAAAAGAAATGAGAAATGGGACCACCCGTGCTTTGGGATTTTGACTTACTCTTAAGACTGAGAGTTTCTGGCTAGCAGTTTTTCTGTCCTTCTGTATCCCCACCGCCTAGCCAAGGGCCTGCCACAGAAGAGGCAGTGTTTGTGGAATTAATTGTTGAATGATTAATATGTTACCGTTCTCTGTTTACTGGAATGGCATTATTAAGCCATCGCTCAGCCTTTTCTTCTCCAAATTAAATAGCCCATATTATTTTAATTCATCCCAAAGCATTTTGAGCAGACACCATTTGCCAAGCCTCATGTATCTTTATGTGTTAAACTGCTTTTTCCTCCCCAGGTTCAAGGGCAGATGGGGTTTTCGAGGAGGATTCGCAAATTGACATAGCTACAGTACAGGATATGCTTAGCAGCCACCATTACAAGTCATTCAAAGTCAGCATGATCCACAGACTCCGATTCACAACCGATGTACAGTTAGGTAAGTGCATGAACAGGTGACGAACTGGACCCTTTATATCAGTGGTCAACATAGAAATAGGGAGAGAAACCACATACAACTTTTACGTAACCTGAGTGACTATCGGTAATTTGTTTTCAGAGAAAATGTTTAAACAATGAAATTTAAAGTACCTCCTTTTTCCCAGCCAAGTGCTCTGTCTTGTCTTCTTTTTTATGAAGCAGAAGATTAGAAATAGAACTAACTTGAGACTCTTCAAACTGATTGACTTCTGTGAAGTTCCATAATTCTCTCACATGCTCTCAGAACTGCCTTGTAGCACTGCCGCCTGTCTCTGCTCAGTGGAGTCGTTGCCTGTTCTTTCATGCATTTATTCGGGAAGCTTTGCCGGGATTTCGGAAGTTGTATTTGAATTCTCACCAGATAATTCGGAACTAACTTTCAACTAATATGTGGGGTTAATTTTTTCCAATTAAATGCTAAATTCCTGTTTTGACTTAAACTAGCAGAAGAAAGTATCCTAGTGTCACCAGGATATTAATGTACCATTGTCATCAGGGCTGTCATTTACAGGTATCCGCTGTGCATTAGGCACTATGCTAAACGTTCACATGCACTGCTTAACTGCCCCATCTAACAGAGAAGGCAGATGAGGTGCAGAGAGGTGAAGGCTTATGCTCAGGCTCACACAGCAGGTAATGGTGGTGTCAGGAGCAGAACCCTGGTCTGTCCAACTTGAGTGCACCTGCTCCATAATAAAGGATGGTGGGAGGAGGGGGAGCAGGGGTGAATTCCTGGCTAAATCAGGGAGCTGGACTGCACCCTGGCTCTGCCACTGACTCTGCCACACTTCCCCTTCCTGGGCCTCGTTTGCTTCATGCATAAAGGGAGAAGGCTTGGATTCTCACTCTAAGGCTCACGACTTATGTTTTTCACAAATGCTTTGTATGTGTCTCATCATAAAATCTTATCTAATGTTGACATTAATCTGACTAATTTGTCTCAATAATTTCTTCTCAGTTTGACTGACAGGAGCTTAAAATAGGCTGATAGTATAGCTTAGTAATTAAGAGATGAGCATCAGAATCACAACTGGTTTAAATTGTGGTCTACCAATAACCAGCCCTGTTAGGCAAGTGTCTTCCTCTTTCTGAGCCTCAGTTCCATTCTGCTTACATGGGAATATCAGTGGTACCAGCACCTTGGGACTGCTGTGGGAACAAGTCAACTAGTCCATGTAAAGCCCTGAGCACAGGGCCTGGCAGCTGGTAAATATCTGAAAGTGAGAGCTGTTAGTGGAGAGGCAATATAGAGGAGTACTTAGAGGACAGACTCGGGACTCAGAGGCCTGGGTTCAAACTCTGGCTCCTTTATTAGCTGTGATTAGTCATCACAGGCAGATGACTCAAAAGAGTCTCAGTTTCCGAATTTGTAAGCTGGAAATTATAGTCCCTCTCTCGTAGATAAGGTGATCATGGGGATAAAATGGCAAAACACGAAGAATTCTTACAAAGGCACCTGGCACGTGGTGAGAGCTCAGTGAACATCAGCTGCTGAGATGATGGTGATTCTGACAGACTCAGTAGATGAATCAGCTCCCAGTAACTTTGAAGCAAAACATAGAACCCAGCTTTCTTCCCCCTCTCTAGACTCTTTCTGCCGCCTCACAAAAAAACTCTAAATCTCTAAAGTGGTAAAAAAAAAATTTTTTTTTAATTGCTTATTTAATGTTGATTCTTAAAACATAAAGTTCTCAGTGGTATTCTTCCTGGGGATACTTTTCCTGATATTTCTCCTAGAGATAAAAATAAAAGGCTCCTCCAAAAGAAAACAGATCCAGAAAGGAAGGTAAAAGCACATACTGTATGATTCCATTTATATAACTTTCAAATATAGACACAAATAATCTGTGTAGAAGTAATGATGGTGCTTGTCCTGGGGAGCTCAGACTAGAGGGGAGCTACTGGGACACTGATAAAGTTCTGTTGTTTATCTGGGTGCTGATGACCTGAGTGTGTAGACTTTGTGGAAAAGTCAAGTCGTATATAATACATACTCTTATAATTTATATACTTTCTGTTGGTATATTTTCAGTGAAAATTTTACTAAAATAAGAATGTTACTCAGACATCCAGTTTGCGTGTGCCTGAAAGCAGTACCTTCCCAGTAACAAAGGGTCTGTTTTTATGAGTGGACCTGGTTTTAAGAAGCTTGATAAATATCCTGAGTGCAGCCAAGATAAAGGTCCAGGGTACAGGGTAGGGATTTTCCCAGGTAAGCATAATCAGCAAATCCTCTGATCCCCAAGGTGAAAAAGCAGTGCCTTTGAAAGATAGCCAAGATCGTGGGCTTCTTCCCCCTAATTTTTTCCAAAGGCAGAAAGCCTAACTTTAATTCATCAGATTCTGACCTGTATTTTATTTAAAGGAAAAGGTCCAGGGGCCCTGGCCAGGTAGCTCAGTTGTTTAGAGTGTCGCCCCGATACACCAAGGCTGCGGGTTCCATCCTGATCAGGGCACATGCAAGAATCAACCAATGAATGCATAAATAACTGGAACAACAGATTGATTTGTCTGTCTCTCTCTCTCTCTCAAAATTAAAAAACAAACAAAAAACTAGTATAATGGAAAAGGTCCACAAAAAGATCTGTGAGAACAGCCCAGGCTCTGCAGCCAGGACTGGATTTGGATCCTAGCATTACTGCTTACCTGCAGTGTCACTTTGAACAAGTCCCTTCTCTGGTCAATCTTTGTTTTTGTCATTTACAAAATGCGAAATATATTTACCTTTCAAGATTGTATGAAAGTGGCCCGTGGAAGCTGTGTTCTCTCAGTGGTAGCTTATCTTACTTGTTGTTGTTATTGTTGTCATGATTTATTTTGCTTATTGCTTTCCCTCCTAGTCCACCATCTTGAAAGTGACCAGATCACTCAGATTAGGTAGTGGCTCTATTGGCAAAGTTGTGGCTCTGTTGTAGCCACAATGGAGATTTCTCAGGTAGAAACGGATGACAGTGATACAAGTATCTTTCCCTAGAGCAGTGGTTCTCAGAAGTGAAGCGTCTAGAGGCCAGGTCCCAGTCACCTCTGGATGCTTCCAATGGTGCACATGGCGCCCTCTGGTGGAAATTCGGGACTCTGAGGAGCTTCTAAAACGTCAGAATATTTCTAATATGAGTTTAGTTCAGTCCTTAGCATTATAAGCAGCAACGTCATTAATTAGTCCTGAGGTGTTTTTTGACAGTCATAAACTGCCCATGAGTACTTATACCATGCAGTGAATAAATACACTCATTTCCTATTCCCAGGTACATGAGTTCAGCTATGTAACTTAAGACCCTCTCTCCCTCCTTGCGAAGCAGATGGTAACACCCTTTCATTCTTACAACAAAAACCTGCACACAGCAATCCAGACATTCTTCCTTCCTGGAACAGAACCTACCACAAAGTGCATGGCAGCATAGAGCGCGTCCTTTATGAGCATTCAAGTGAGCTGCTAGACCCTGAGATCAGTAAATAATTTATTTTATTTCAACTGACTAGCCAGGTGCTTCAAATCTTTCCTGACACTGATGGATGGCCTCCTCCGCTCGTCCATCCTGTGTCAGTCAGAACAGAGGTTTCCCTTGCCCCCTGTGGCAGGCTCTTCTAAGTGGTAAGTGTCTGTGTGTGGCATTTACCCAGCTGACCTGCTGAGTCCACAGAAAACTACCCAGCCACTCAGAGTCAGTGGTACGTAAAAGTGCACAGCAGAGGACCGGAATTTCCCAGCTCCGCGGTGCCAGCGCAGCTGCTTGTCTTCTGACAGGTAGTAGTGGCCACTGCTCTACTTTTACCATCTGCTTTTTGTTTCTGAGGTCGGGATGAGAGTCAAACTTTGATCTGCAGGACTCAAACTTAAATCAGTTTTCCACCAGGTTTTTGTGTGATTGGAAAATATATTGGAGTCTGTTAATGAAACCTATGACAAAGGTCTGATCTTTCTAAATAATATTAACACGAAGAATTATAATTTTTAAAAGCAGTTATTGTTTATCAAGTGCTTACTATGTGCCAAGCCCTCTGCTGATCACTCTTTTATAGGCACTGTCTTCTTTAATTATAGTACTACTTTTAGACAGCACTGGTATTATCTCCATATCTTATGTGAGGAAACAGGGGTGTAGGGAAAAATCTAGTAAGTAATGAAGCCGGAATCAGAACCCAAGTCTGTCTGAGGCAAATCCTGCGGCTAACTACTATATTATGCCTTGAATGCGAATCATCATTGCACCAATACTCCGTAGTTCTGTAACAATTTCCAGCATACAGACTGTCACAAACTCTTATTTAATCCACATAGCACACTGTTACCTTATTTAATCCACACAGCACACTGATGATGGTATTCCCATTTCATGACTGAGAAAACAGGCTTGGAGGAAGTAATGAAACAATGCGATATATATAAAGCACTTAGTGTTCACTGGCACGGAGCTATTACTTAATAGGTGCTAACTCCCTTCCCTCCCCCTGAGCCATCAAATATACAGTGGGATACCCAGTCCCAGTAGCACAGACAACCCACTCCGTATGCTAAGCCCAGGCCCTCATGCCTCAGATGCCTCAGTCATTAATAACTTGCCTGCACAAAGGAACTGATTCCTTCTCCTTGGCTAGTCCTAAAATGTCTGCACACCCCTCACTCCTCCCCCTACCCTGGCATCTGGAGCTTGGTGTCAGTGTGGTGCGGGTGCCGCTGTTTCAGCCTCATTCACACTGTCATTCAGTTGTTGCTCTTCCTGCTGGGCCTGGACCTGCCCTCAGAATCCTTCCCAACACAGTCCTCTGAGCATGCCTCCCCCCCCCCCCCC